GTGTGCATTGTAGACGATGGTTTATATCTCTTCTACCTATATATGCATTTGTTTTCCACAATATATTATTTTTGTTAATGAAATAACAAATAAACATTATCTACACTGCACTGATTAAATACGCGAAAGATACATATTGCTGGGCTCAGATTATGCTGCATCACTCAATGTTCAAGCTAATATGGGCACATGTGCTCAGTTCTTTTTTTATCAATTTAAAAAAGATATTCAGTCGCAGTACATCAACTCGTGTAACGTTGTCCAGGCAACGTAGGCCAACAAAAATAGTATGGTTTGCAGTAACTATGATAGACGACTTTTAAAATTGTGAGTGTCTGATACCAGTAGAACAAGACTTTATTCTTGAGTGACATTAATTAGTATGCAGATTAAGATACTTAATAGATTTGTACCAAGCAATTACCGTGTCTGTTATTGTCCTTAACACCATGAATTTTACCACGCATTGATATCATTTGATGTTTAAATAAACCAAGCGAAGCATGTTTAACAACCGTCCAGATATTGGTACAGTAACGTAGGTGTATGGTATTATTACAAATGGTGTCATGGTCACTACAATGACAAGTTGTTACTGAGATGCAGGCCAAGAATCGTCGAATAAATCGTGTTGTTTGCCGCAGACGTAGATCGTTTGAATCACTAAGTACACACATGAATATCGTGCCACCGCACATAATGATCGAATACCAATGCAGTGCGTTAGCGAGCAAACGTGTCAGTTAGCAATGTTGCTTTCAGGCAAGAGTCCAGTACTTTGCATGTGGCGCCGACGAAGTTGTGCACAAAATGATGAACCAGTGCGTTGATAATGTATGATTATATACAAGAAATCTTACTGCACAAAATTTGTATTCGATATTTTTTTTTCATAGAATGGCCAGCTCGCAGGGCAGGCTATAAACAGTGAAATGATCGTGTGTCTGTCATCTTGACAAGTATTACCCCCGAGTGTTATCCATCTTGTCTACAAACCTTTGCACGGAATTGTGTTCGTAATATTCCATTTGACTTACGTGCAATGCCTATGTATGAAAAAAAACAGTTTGTAGAAATTTCATGATAAAATTGTAATAGCAGAAATAAAGACCGGGAAATTGTTTCATACGTGTGGAACAGATGATTATTTTTATATTGTTTAACAGTAACACACAAAATGACGTACAGATTGTGATAGTCGATTTTCAAAAATCTGTAGTGTGGTTTACTCCTAAAAAATACTGTTTTCTTCCACGGCGAGTTCCACCCTGCTGACGGAAATTATTCATGCATGTCTGTAGCAATAGTACTGACTTACTAGCAAATTTGCTTGTAACTTGCGGTGGTTATAAAATGCATGAATAATGAAGATTTACAAACTAAGAATTTGAAATATCTTCATTTCCTTCTTTCCTTTTGTCGATTAATGTTTTCGTTTCCTGGACGTCATGATGGCTTGTAGGGAGTATTCCACTGGTGCCATCATTTTACTGTAACTGACAAGTTTCACGATGCTTGTTGCCAGTTGGTTAATTTGCGTTTTCAGATCTAACACTTGTTTGCGTTTTGTACATTGTCAAATATTGTCTTTGAAAATTGAATTTAGAAAGACATAACTGCAAACTGCAATTGTTAAATCCAACTTTTTTCATCAATAAATCTTTCCAGCTATATTTATTGGTAAGCTTTTAAACTAAGTGAAATCGACACAAATGCAACAAACCCAATTAGATGCACAAGTGTTACTTGTAAATTTTGGTATACGATACTTGTAAATGATCAACGCTTGTTATTTCCACTTTGACAGTACATACATATCTGTATTGACTCCGAGACAATAACGACAACCCAATGACTTAGATTTCTTTTTACGCATTTGAATTACGAATCATTAAAACTGAATTTTGAACACCATTTTTGTAACTATTAGTTTATTATTGATATTTCAAAATTAAACTAAACACAGATTGGAATTTCTTCACGTTTAGAATGCTTGTTTGTGTGAATGCGTAATTACAGACAAAAAATGAATACTATATGTAAATATGTTACTCTTTGTGTGTAAACATCTTCGAAATGAAATAACTTTAACTGACTTCATTAATTTTTGGAACATCAATTTAAAGTTAACCTATTTCGCCACCAACAAAATAAACCATAATTTGTCCATATTTTGTTTTTGAAAATTATAATCGAGATATGAAAATTTATGTCCATTTGGTTCAAAATTAGCAAAGTATATTTTGGAAACATATAGCAAAAACGTTAACATAATATTCAGTTCAACCGTTATATAACAACACCAATTAAGTAAAGAATGTGGCATATAATACTTGCTAATATAATATTTCTTTTACCTATATTGCGCTTTTTACACGTGCGCATGATAGAAGAATAAAATAATTAATTACAAAAGCAGAAAATAGTCAAATAACATCACATAAGTGACATTAAATCAAGAATTGTCGAACATGGAAAGCTTTCCTGAACACACGGTTAAGAAAGATGCAACTACATTAAACTCAGTAGAGTTAATAGAGAAGTATTAAATAGTGAAGTTATGGTAATAAAGGTTTCTAAATACCGCTGAAGAACATTTGCTGGATTTCCCTGAGGTGAAACTGTAATAACTGACTGTGATCAATGTGAATTGTTTAGCTAAGATAAGCAATGATGGACAAAATGTTCCCATGCGTGAAATCAGTAGATTTCAAATGTATCAGGAAACACACTCCATTCTTTACGTAAATAATTACTACTTCCATTATCGTAAGCGGGAAGCAAAGCAGCGCTGTGACGTATATGCGCGATGATGATGATGATGATGATGATGATGATGGTGGTGTCCGTGGTATTTGCTATCAACATGATAATGTTAAATGTTCATCTTTCTCTGTAGGCTGCTAGTGAAAACGTTAAATATTCTTTCTATCTTTTGTTTATTTGTATATCTGGGGTTTCGATATTCAAATGTAGTCGTAGCATACGAATCAACATGTTTGGAAGAGTCTGTAAGAGTTGTAAATATTTGATAAAATTTAAATAAAAATAATTACAAATGAAGTTTCCATATTTGAGTGTTAAAGTAAAAGAGGACACAGAACACCAAGGACCAAAAAAACCCATATATTTCAAATGTGTGCAGTCCAATTGTCTTGACATCACTGACTATGACAGTAGAGAGTGACAATAAATATGTTTGATAATATTATGTTTAAAATGGGTTACTTGAAATGAGTAATAAGTATTGTCATTTGACGTACAGCTAGGAGAAAGGATGATGTATTTATTATTGTGTGTTTTATCATCACTATTGATTACAAAGATGAAGACTGATTCAGAAATCTTGTCATCTTTTTTTTAAATAACTTAATAATAAAAAAATATAAGTGGCAATGGTTATTTTCTTTAGAAATATTTGTGTTTCATAGGTTAATTCTGAATCAAAAACACGTGTCTAATCTATAAAACAAAACGTCTGTCGTTAATAATAAATGATTAAAAAGGTTTAAGTTTAATTGCAAACCTTCTAAATATAGCCCGCCTTTATTCTGTCCAGTTCAGAATCCGTATCTAATAGTATTATAGCACACACTGCCTTCGATGATCAATTCCATTTGAAACCAACGTTAAACTTACCAATGCCTCGATAGAATCTGATATAAACCGTTGTTATGAAAGACTCAATATTACCACATTAACCTCGTCGTTTAATGGTGTCTTGATTAAAATGATGCGGTAGATGAAATTGGATGAATTAGATGTTAAGCTACATCGATACTTTCAATGTTTTCAATGGGGTTTACGTCTAAAGGATGATTACACATTGCACTGCCTAGACGTAATGATGTTGCCGTGTCAGGTTTTAGTGTAGCATACTACAAAATAATAGTTTAGTTAATGAGATCGTTTTTTTGTTCTGTGTCACTGATTACACCCCAGACACACGTAGGCTATTGCTATACTTGTTATTGTGAAACAGACGTATCATACTGTATTTGAAAACGTTTACACATGTTTGTTCGTTCGTGCTTCTAACACGGAATTTGTGATTGTAGTATTGTGGCTACTTTCCAAGGTTTAACGGCAATGCAATTTATGATGTATTCACAGCTTTGACGCGATTGTCGCTAATTGTGTTCAAACCTGCCGCAGTGAGTTATTTAGCTACATACGTGTGGCTATAGTCAGTTATTAGGTGAGGAATACCGTACGTGAATAGGTCTCGTTAGAAATTTGTTAGTTCAGAGGTTGATGAAATAGGCGAGAAATGTATCTGCTTCACAGATGTGTTTTCTTAATCTCCTTTTTGTTGTTTTCCTGGCGCTTCTCATTACTATTAATTGACTATTAATATAGCGACATCGGCTCGCATGTAGTTGGTGCGATTCCCGGAATTCACGCGTACTTAGTCCACCCCATTTCCTCTCCAAAAACAACGTTAAATTAACGCATTGGCATAAGCATCCAATATACAACCAAATTAAATGGATTCGGCGCCGCGTATCTTAAATACGCTCTGAATCCTTAATTTTCCCCTTCATCAATCTTTTTCAACATTCGCGTTTATTTGCTCCCGGGACGTGTTCTCGAGGAGAAGGAAAACCTACTCGAAATCCCAGCAAATCTGAGCCATGTCGTAAAAGACGGCATAACATCTAAATCATGAATGAACTACGATGGTCTGAGTTTGAAGATGGGTGAAGCCTTGCGTCGAAACAGTCGCCGTGTTTCATTATACAGCTCATTGGCTTGATAGGTTCGCGATGCTGTTTAAATGATAATTGTAGCTATTTCGAATCTGGCATACGATTCTATTGATCCTCCCCAGTGACTGTATTTCGCTGTGCACATTTCCTATTGGTTATTTAAATAAAAATATCTATTAGGGCGGGCGGTTATGACATAGGAGAAAATAAATACATAGAATTCAGCCAAACAGGGGGCGTTCTCTCATATATATAAATATGTGCACAGCTTCACTACGTACGACAGTGCGACGGAACACTGGGAACAGAAGCTTGCTATATGGTGTGCGCGTCCCCTTCTGATAGATCACATATATACAAACTCGACGTTGTGCCGTTCTTTCAAGTTTGAGTCGATAAACGAGGGCTTTGTTTTGTGTGCCAGCGTCTTTGAGGGGGAAACGTTGTAGCTGACGACTGGTAAGTAAAGATTGATATATTGACACCCGTAACTAGAGAGGTGCAGATTTGTTTTTTGGTTTTTTTTTGTGTGTTTTTTTTACAAGCGTTTGTTTGTTCGGGATTTTATGATGAAACTTGTACCATATTCGTTCTTTGAGCGTTGTATGATATTAGCAATAACCGTATCGCAGCGTTTTGTAGTTGGGGTTTAGATTCCGCGTGTGTGCCGATTCTATTTAATTAACCGCAAGTTATATATTGTGCATGCTTTCCTTCATATCAACCGCGTCCCATAATGATATTAATGCGCGCAGTCACATCAAGAGAAATAACACGCGAGAGAAGAGAGAAAGAGGAAAGGAGAGATCGCTCACACTCGATTCCTTTATTCGGCATATTGCACGACGGTTCTTCAATTATAAAGATACAGACCCTAGAGATATGGGGATTGCTATTGACTTGTAGATTTAAGGGATGAGGATTGCGTTACTAATACACACTATAAAATATTTAAAAAAGTACAGATTGGTTTCTAATAATCATGCGAAGTGACTAATGGTGACATTTGTCTTACAAATAACGCGCAGAAATTTAAAAACTCATTTACCTTGAGTTTTCTATACTTCGTATTTCACACAGCTTTCGATAATGACGATATTTTCACACAATTATCAATTGTAGCGATAATTAAAATAAATATCTAGAAAATAATCTGAAACGAATAGGACATGAATGACTCGATGAAACGTCGATTAATATGTGAGCAGACTGGTGAAGCGTGATACTTCCCTGATTTCATTTCACTAGAGTAGGTTCCAATTTACGGCATTATAGAATCCTTGCGCCATAGTTGATATGTTGCGTGAATAAAATTGCGCGCCGACAACTTTGGGTACGAGTGGTACAATTAAAAGATCTCGCACCGACAAGCATAATGTGTTTTTATTTGTTCGCATGATAAAGTTGATTAAACTCAGAGTCAAAAAGGAATGGCATGTATTGAAATACTACAAGATTGACCACTTGTTATATTTTAATTAGTTTCATTTGTAATTATTAATATGGCTATATCGTGCGTGTTAATAACAAGGTTTCATTATGGGGCAGTAATTAACATTTATGGAAACCGAACATGGGTTAATTGATTATCCGTTCTGCACTAGGCAATAAGTTTGGCGCCAGTCTTGCTAGTCAGGGAGAAACTATACTTGGTATTTAATGATTATGCTCGGCTAAAAAAAAAACAACGTTATTTCTGAACAAAAACAGCGTCAAGAAACTGCTCTTTCTCGTATTTACTAATTAGCAGTGTGTTCGTTTCTGACATGTTTATAGATGCCATTAATAAGTTGTCGATAATGTGGACAAAATTAGAAATGTCAACACCATCGAAGCAATGCATCACGCTATTAAGCACTAAAACGTTTGGCCTCGAGTATTTCGCAGCCTCTACGGGAAACCGCTCGCAATCTATCCTGTTGATAATTCATCACAGTGGTCAGTCGGCGTTCCCCAATTTGTTTACAGAATGTGCAACTCTCAACTTGGACGTTGTTTTAAATAGTTAAAGCCTCGTCGACTTACACTTTCCATACGTCCGCTGAATACGGAATTGGTACACTCACACCAGTCACGATGCCATAAGTTTCGAGTCTAATCTCTTACTGAGTACTGTGAACGTTTTAACGGTTAAATTATTATATGCCTGTGGACGCTTCGTATGTGTCTTTTTTTCGTTGATTTAATGTATACAATCACTAGAGGCGAGTATATGATCATGGCAACTTTCATGATTCATCGACATTTAAAACGCATCCGGTTCAATAATTCGGGCTTTTTTGGCGTCAGTACTTATACTTGTCAACAAGTTGTTTTCATTGTGATACAGGCATTTTTTTTTCACTGGCCTCCCGGTCGCGGCTGTTAACAAGGAAAGATAATTACTCTAGTCAAACAAACAAGCACACCGAGGGTAACATTGCATACATTACACATGATCATCAATAAAGTCAATTCCAGGTTTTCATTTCCGGTAATTATTGCGATGATTCGACCATAATGGATGGGGCAGACTGCGTAGCCGTATTACGGTGGCCTCATACTGGTCACGATAGTAGGAGTCGTGACATTCATGCTAGAAAATGTATAGAAATCGTAAAAAAGATATTAGTAGAAAATGCCATGATCAAACAGCCGAAGTATCGGTTGGTGTGCTGATCACACCGAGAACCTAGGTGAAACGAACAATCGTATGGAAATATGAAACGTTGTATTATAGCACGTAGCTTGCCGCTGCAAATGCTTTACAATTTGTTTTTTAATAATAAACCCTTAAATGTAATGTTAATCACACGTGCACAAAATACTAGATTATACTAACTTGGGTATCAGTTTCTTCGGGTAGTAGGATTTTCCAAGCCGTCACAACGTTAAACCATCGAGGCAATAGAAATGCAGATCTTATATGGCTTCATCAGGATCATATTGAACACACGATGCTCCTCGAACTATATGTCTGATTACTGTTATTCAACTCGTCAATGATCTCTGCCCAAATTCGCAATTTTCTTCCACTAATGGTTTGAATTCGTCTTTCAGCGTCAATCGCTATGAAAAGTAATTACCGCGAATACGTAACAATGGTTCGTTTTTAAGGAACATTCGGAGAGAGAAATTTTAACTTGTTTTTTTTTTTTTGCGTCGCCAAGCTGGGTGATACGTGCATACATCTTCACTGTCTGACTGCAACAGTTATGTATATGGTGCGTGGTCACGTGACCTGTTAATCAACTAATCAACGTGTAATTGACAAATGGCATACAAGTCATTTGTATTGTGAACATTTCTTTATTAATCTATTCATGTATTTACGTCGCCAATAATCGCGCAGTCGCTTAAAATGTTACGTTGTTCAGCGCGCGTTTGAAAGTCAATTTAAAAAAAGGCGCGGGCGGTGAGTGTGGCGCCATGTCGCGTCACGTCAAAGTCAAAGATATTTCCGTAAATGAGATGGGTGTGGGATTTTTTTTTAGGAAATTTATAGATTGAAAAATGCAACAAATGTCAGATAGCTAAATGATTATCTAATTTGATTTTCCCATTAAATTGAAGACGCCCCGGTGAGAAATAAAACAAAATCGTAGATTTGTTTTTGTTTGAATACCTTCAGGACCATGGCTAAGAAAATCTGGAAATCCAATTCAAAAAAACGTAATTGTCTATTTGCTATATATGTGAACTCACTGTGATAACACTGCCCTTCGCGTAACAGCTGCGGCTTCGTGAAGAGATACATTTAACATTCTTAACAATAATCCGCGTTAATTCCACTGTTAGTAAATGTTAGGAATAATCAGTTACAAATAAAAAAAAAAACTGGCTATGATTTTAATTACACAACAAAAATTAATAATTCCCGCCAAACGTGTGACGATGTATGTGAACGATTCAATGTAATCAGCGATGCATTAGTCCACTAATGACTTAGAATCTGCCATTTGTTCATTTGTAAGCCTCTTTAAGTTAATATCGCATTTTGATTTCCCCGAGAAGAAGCCGTACACGCAGGCCAGCGAATGTGGATTGTTTCATTATATGGCAGGGGGTGAACGTGTCATGCGTTAAAATAGGGTGAAGCAGAACTGATACCTTCGATCTCACATATAACGACAGAATGATTTTTTCAATTTCTTTATTCAAAACGGCAAATGTACTAATTACATGGTTCAGCATTATGGGAATTCGGATTGTCAAACGCGTGTGTTGACCCTTAAATAACAGGGTCGGAATGTATCCTGCAGCTCCAGCGTCAAGAGAAATAAGTAGTTCTAATTTCTCCAATTTTCGTGTTTGATAATATTGTCTAAACTTATCAATTCGTTCAAATTATGCCGAGCTCTACATTGTGGTCATTACCGTCATTCCATCCATGTCGATACACCCTGTCAGTCAAGCCATCTCACGCTCCGGCGCGTACAGATCGAGTTAGTCGATCACGAAATCAACTGAATTTGGCGATGCAGTGCGTAAAAGGTACACTAAAGACAGATGTAGAGTACGCACGTGGGCCCACGTCTATCCAGTTACCTGTTTATTTCACTACAAAAATGTAGTACGAGCAACATTTTGGGATCTTCCTCCCTGATGGGAAACTCTCACCAGTTGCGAATGTTTCAATTGCAATCCTTATATCCAATCCTGTATAGCCTTAATACTAGTTGTATGTCATAGGAAAGCCCGCTCAGAGTGGTTTACCGAAGTATATAGTACTTTAAAGGCAAAGTAATTAAATCGGCACTTTAGTCAAAACAACTACTATAGACGCGTGGATCAGATTTCGGTGAAATTTGTTGGGGTGAGGCTTAAACTTGACATTTTCTCAGTAATTAAATTGTCTGAGAAGGACGAAATAGCGCTTTATGGGGCGGTGCTGTACGTCGAGATCTCGACATAAGATGAGAATACATATCATGTTCATGCAAAGGTAGCACGTATATGTGACCAGCAAATCCTATGTAAATGAGATAATAATAATAATGTATATTTCAGTATATTTAGTCAACTTTATTTACTCATTGCAGGTAAAAAGAACATAGAAGAAATAACGCCGAACATGGGGCGCTGTAGTTACAAATATGGAACGTGTCTTTTTGTGATCGTATTTGTTTGGTCTTGCTTTCTAGCAAGTGCCCAGGAACAAGAAGCTTACAAAGATTTAAACTATCTACCAGGTAACTTTGGCAACTTTTACTGCGTTATGTGTTTTTAACAGAATCCACGCCGACTAATATATGGAAATAGGGCTATTAAGATTCGACAGATACGATAAAGATACTAGTCCATTATCTCTAAAATGAATGATGGGTTAATCGAAGAATCGGGTTTTAATATCGATTACCATAGTAACGCGATGTTGACCCAAATACTTATTTAGACTCGCCAGATACAATCGGAATGAATAAACATTTTCTCCCGTCTCTTACGTGTTTTGCTTTATTGCCTACACTGCGATAACTGTAGGCTATCCACCCTTTAACATATAAACCGTGTATTCCAGTATCTCGCATTAGCAATTAAAACCGAACCTCTTCATTCGTTTGGAATGCCCTTCTTAAATTACATCGCCAATAGTGATTACTTCGGTTGACTAAATGTGAAACATCGTCCCATGATCATGAATAAAATGTCATCGATCGTTCTGGGCTCCTAGTCGAAAATGTTCGATTTCGCGCGACGGAAATAAATCAATTTCCTTCTTGACAGAAGTCAAAATTGCCCAAGTCTCGGAATTTAAATAACTAAAGGTATAGTTGGGAGTGATTTTAATCTTTGATATACCGGAATTAACCTACATGTCATTCGTACATTCCCTGCTCGTGAAAACGTTTAGATTTGATCAAGCACATTTATATATAATCCAGTTTCATTTATTTATTTTTTCAATTGAAACTTTTCGAATGGGATAATTGTCAACGGGCGTGATTCATCTCCTTCGGACTTGTTTTTCCAATCCTGAATCACAGCGGGTTTCTACTTTTAATTCAATTCATTTTCTTCTCTATACTTTTTTTCGAAATTAAAACAAAGTCGGGTTTCTGTTATAGAGCTTACCGAATAGGTTTATATAAATCCGATAAAACGACGTATTGGGTTTCCGCTGATTAAAAGGAACAGTGAAACGGTCGCAGTAGCCCAATTGACCTCCCCTTTGCGAAATACTAGTAGACGAAATTGAGAGTCGTATCTGCAAAAAAGAAACTCCGTCAAACCAATAAAATATCATGCTAAATATGCTTCATTATCATGTTTTCTTTTTTGACTATCAATCATTTCAATCATGACAGTGCTGATGTTTGAATTATCATAAAAACAGTTATTGATACTATTTAATTCACGTTTTTTATAACACTTTTGTACCTATTTGTTTTTCACAACTGTAGGCGTTTACGAAAAACCTGAAGGAGAGGTAATAGAAGAGCCGGCAGAGAAAAGGCAATTTCTAAGTAACGGCTATCCAGGAAAAAGACAGTTCCTCAGTGCTGGTTACGGGTTTGCTGGAAAACGTGACCCTGAGCCCCAGTTCATCAGTGGCAAACGAGAGGCTGCCGGACAGTTTGTATCGGGAAAGCGGGAACCACAATATATCTCCGGGAAGAGAGCGGCGCAATACATATCGGGGAAGCGAAACCCGCAGTACATATCCGGCAAACGAGACCCACAGTTCATCAGTGGCAAGAAAGACTCCCAATTTTACTCCGGCAAGAGGGACCCCCAGTACATCAGCGGCTAAGCATAACAATTGTAATTTACACGCAACATGGCGAAACTTAATTTACGAACTGTTTAATCAAATCTCTCAATATACAGACATATATTATAATGTACAACGAAATACGGACACCGAGTATTGCGACGAAACGCACGGCATAGTGCAATGAGATTGACAATGAGAGATTTATGTTCGTATTCAAGTTTGATGTTAATACTGTAACGATTTTTATTTACCCATTTACCGCACCTTATGAGAATACACACACCCCTAGCACTGCATATAGAGTTGTGAGAAACCTTTGTAATTAGTCCGGATTTTATAACCGATATATTTACTGCAATTCGAATTCCGTTGTTTTCTCAGTTCATTTCATTGATTTATATATATATATATATATATTCTTGAAAAATGGTGGGTATAAAAAATCATCAAAAACTCCAACACACGGCACATTTAAATATACATAGTAGCATTAGTGTCAATGCACCAATTCACTGCTTTATAAAGAATTTTGTTTCCGTGATTTTAATCTCATAATATTTACCTCACCTTCCAATCCCACCCATCCCTTCACCAAAAAATACATGCACTAAGCTGATATCATTATTCCAATTTCCCGTGGCTTAATTTCTTTCAAATGTATACGAATTTGGAATAAATCGTGGATTTTATTGTCCGAATCTGTCCGTTTTAAAGCCAGGGGCGAGCTTGGGTGGTAGCAACGCGGCGTGCGGATCGTGTCGCATGCATCAAGGTTTCCGATTTCCCTGGCATTCAATATGAAATTACCTGAGTCGGATTTAAAAAGATGGATCACCTTACAATCGGAGTATTCTCATTTTAATAAAATCATACCTCTATAGCCTTTTAGAAGGAACCAAAGAAATTCTCTTCTTGCGATTAATATTTAGTATTTCATTAGCGCATTCTTATAGATTGGTAAGTAGGGTAGATGATGAAGGCATATGCACGGATAATAACATGTAATTGGATAGGGTATGATAGGGTATATAACAAAACAAAACCATTAATCACTCGTTCTGGGAAATACCACCATGTGCGTACACATATTTCCTGAATATAGAATTTGGTTTGACATCCAGTATAACCAAAACGCAAGTGATAAACAAGCAAGCGCTCACGGATCTGTGTAATTTAAGGTCAGAATGTGGAACCATAGCTCTTATTTATCTATATTAAAATCTGTCTTCCAATATTGAAGAGTATTATGTACTGAATGCACGATCCGAATATTAACTGGTCATCGCGGCGCCTTGTCTGGCCTCTGATATCCCACGTTTTTCGTTATTGATGTGAGCGCTGGAGACTGACAGGGGTTGGTTGATTAAACGGATTGAATCATAGGCAAAGAAAAGGGAACAAACTCCCAGCTCCGTCGGTCGTAACATAGTTACTACTTATGTTTTCCCTCACATGGTAATCCAAGAGTTTTGAGAAAAAAGATAAAAGAAACAGTGCCGACAATCTTATTGAGAGCACTTAGTCAACGAAACATGTATTTCAGCATTTCTCGTTTTTTCAAGAGAAAAAAAAATGAAAAACCCCGGAAGCGATGTTATTTATCCTCCACTTGCCCGTTGGCCGTATACGTCTCTGGTGGTTCTTGTAAACCGCTCAATATTCTGTTTTATTAAATAAAAGGTTTCACATGCGATCCACATACATAATAAAAGTAAAGCAAAATCAACGTGAATGGCGACCTTTCCCGACCAGAATTCAAGTTCGTTAAAAGTAAAAGTCAAGATCAATACAAACCGTGTCTCAAATTTTAAACACGGTTGTAATGACGTGACACTAACCTCATTTGCATATACATATCTTCGTATTACTATAACCTTCGTCATTAATTAATTAGCTTCAAATTGTGAGAACTACAAGTGTTGACAAATATGGTTAATAAGTTTTTCTTCCATTTATTTCTGGTCACATCATTCAGAAAAAGTCTTGCTTATTCCCTTTAAAACTCAGGTCGAAAGGACCATTTATGGGTTTCTGGGTCACGTGGTATTTCTGCCAGAATACGTCACAATTAACCGCCATTTTGTCGTCCTTGTTCTTAGTTGGTTGTTACGAAACAACTAAAATTTAACTCGCGCGTCGTGCACGAACTTCGAACGATTCTGTAGTGTTACCGATGTCATCGTACAACACCCGAAACCCGACTATTCGTACTCGACCGTCAATATTAGAAAATATTTTGTCTCTGGCTCCACGGATATACGTGCAACAAGAGAGGCTTCGTATTACCTGCGGTGAAGACCATCAATATCCATCAACTGTCAACTATAATTGTTTTTGCTTTGTCGTTGTTGTCAAGAAACCCATCTCGCATTAGACGGAGAATTGATTTTGATTTGACAGTACAGCGCGGCACTGAAACGCTCACTCAATGTCACGGCATGGCAGACAGCGACGCGTTACCGTTCACGTGGACTGACTTAGGGGGTCATATACTTTGTTTTGATTTTTGTACCCGTACAAAATAATAAATTAAAGTTTCGACCATCACTGCGCAATATTTCCAATTGTTAAAGCGGGGGAGTCGTCACCTGCGCATGCGTCAGATGGCCATAGCGTGTCATTGTTTACAAACAAGCGTCTACCTTGAGCTTTTGTGTTGTTAGCGTGTGTGACTTGAGACTAAATTCCCGCGCGTGCGCAGGTGACGACCCTCACGCTTTAACCATTTCCTTTGAAAATGAACATAAACAATTTGGAACCAACAGATGAAATATATCACCTGTCTCCTGTCTATTTAAATTAATGTTATGAGATGTCAGAAAGGTCATTCCCGGGACCCCTAATGATATTTTCATTCATCATAATTAATCTATGTTTCTTCTAGATCCATTATTATTAATTAGGGTTAACATTTCAACTACTATATTATATCCATTGTCATATCGACAATGACGGACATTGTGGTACTCCGATGTCAGCTGACACTGAACTTGTTGTATGACTCGATAGAAAAAAAAATACAGTGAAATTAATAATTAATTAAATGTTAATTATGCGAACAATGGATATTTGCAATTTTAGTTAACAAAGACAGCTGATGTGCATGTTTCGAAGTATGAAACCCGGGAACCCATTTTCAAGAGGTGATTAACGGTTAAACATCTATTGTTGATGCGTGTTTTTTTCTATTGAATTTTAAATACTTTATGCCAGAAAAAAAAACAAAACAAAAAAACACACATTTTTAAAGCAAAATTCAATGAGGCCAGGGTTTAAATATCCGTTATGAAACCCACCAGACATAACTACATATTTTCACCTCTGCCTGATTCTCGTGGAGTCCGCTTGGCAGGTTAGAATTAGATGGAATGAGCGAGACCAGAAACGATTGTCACCAGGCGAATAGGTCTCACAGTTCACATTCTTTCTGTCAGCACTTTCCCAGCGGAACAATATTTAAACATTTTTTTGGCAGTGAGGTCACATTGGCTTACCGGGTAATCGGTTAACCTAAACTGTCGCGCGTGTGTCACCCTCTGTCGGTGAAAATGAACTATTTTGCAGACCGGTGTCGGTAGAGGGCGAAAGTAAGCAACGTA